GGAGACCTGTCCAGGTGTCCCTGTGATGGACTGGAGACCTGTCCAGGGTGTCCCCTGCCTCCTGCACAGTGGTTGCTGGACATGGACACCAGTGACCCGTAAAGGAAGAAGCAGGTAAAGATGATGGATGGTACTACTGACGGTACCTGTAAGGTCTGTTCAGAGGTACTGGAGAAGTGAGTCCAATCGTTGGTTGAACCTCAGATCCAGGAGGAACGATGTGGGTTCTGTCCTGGCTGTGAACACTGGACCAGCTCTTTACCCTCACTAGGGTCCTCGAGGGGTCATGGGAGTTAGTCCATCCAGTCTACATGTGTTTTGAAGAAGGTATTCGACCGTGTTCCTCGGAGTACACTGAGGGGGGTGCTCCGTGAGGATAGGACTGGGGGCCCGTTGTTACGGGTTGTTCAGCCTCTATACAAGCGGTGCCAGAGTTTGGTTCTCATGCCGGTAGTAAGTCGGACCCTTCAGGGTGGAGGACTCCTCCAGGGCTGCTCGTTGTCACCGATTCTGTTCATAACTTCATGGACAGAACTTCTCGGTGCAGCCAGGGAGTGGAGGGAGTCCAGTTCAGTGGCCTCAGGATTCATCTCTGCTCTTTGTAGATGATGTGGTCCTGTTGGCGTCATCGTGATCTTCAGCTCTCACTGGAGCGGTTCACAGCCGAGTGTGAAGCAGCTGGGATGAGAATCAGCACCTCCAGATCTGAGACCATGGTCCTCAGTCAGAAAAGGGTTGATTTTTCTCTTCAGGTCGAGGGTGAGGTTCTGCCTCAAGTGGAGGAGTCCAAGTATCTCTGGGTTTTGTTCACGAGTGAGGGAAGAATGGAGCGTGAGATTGACAGATGGATTGGTGCAGCATCTGCAGTATTGCGGTCTCTGTGCTGGTCCATTGTGGTGAAGAGGGAGCTGAGCTGTAAGACAAAGCTCTCTGTTTACTGGTTGGTCTACGTTCCTCCCCTCACCTCTGGTCATGAACTCTGTAGAGACTGAAAGAATGAGATCGTGGATACATAAATGTCTCCTCAGCGTTCTACCTTTCCCTGTCATTGTATTTAGTTGTAAACTTTAGTACACCCTACTCTTCTCCCTCCGTCTCCTACAAGTTTCCCTCATGGTCTTCGACCAACAGCAGCACGATTTCTACCCCCACTGGTGGCGGTTGTTGTTAACTCGGGCCTTGATCAATCTGCTACAGTTTGAATGAACTTCCCTTTTTGTTTTCATAAAAGTGTTTGATGCCAGGTGCCCTTCCTGACACAGCTCTCATTTACCCGAGCTTGTGACCGACACCAATCAGTAACTTCAAAGAACATTTTTTTTAACCTTTTAACTGCATCAATCTGTAAAGGACACATAAGTTTAAATGGAAAAGGTGGAAATGTTTTTGCATGAAATCTTCATGTTGGATCAAACATGAACATCTGATTACTGAATGAACGGATGTTGATGGGAGAGACTATCATAGAATTGGCAGCAGACAGCTGCAATAAGATCTGAAAAGAGAGGCTCTGAAGATCAAGAAATGTGCAGCAATGTGTCTTATCCCCAGATCTGTTCTCCTTATACAGTAGGTGTTGAGAAATATAGAACGAACGCCTGGCATCGTGTTGGGGGTAAAAATGACAACATCTCATGCCATGCTGATGACATGGTCCTCAATGCTACCAATAAGGAAGATCTACAAACATCATTGAAGGAGAAAGCAAGTAAGTTGGCCTCAGCATCAACGTAAAGAAAACAGAAACCATGATAATCACAAAGCAGAAAGAGACACCAGAGTGTGACATCAATCTGAAAGGCTCAGCTAAAACAAGTCAACGAGCATCTGAGTGCTTTAACAACAACAGAGGGACGATCTTTGACAGAAATCAAGCGCAGATTTGCGCAGGCAAAATGAGCGATCACAGATCTCACAAAGATTCTGGCAAACGTATCTCCATGAAGACCTGGAAGAGAGTGTTGGAGTGTTACATCAGTCCCATAGTCAAATATGGAAGTTAAGCGTGGACCACGAAACAAAAAGATAAATGCTGCAGAAACACGTTTAAGATCTCATACACTGACAGAATCACAAACAAATGAAAATAATCCCTTTACAAAAAGACCATGCTGGGACAGGCCAACAGTTTTGGACACACCAACATCAGTTAGAACATCTTGCATCAACTGGAAAAATAAAAGGAAAAAGCTGTGGAAGACAGAGGGAGGAGTTGAAGATCTGCCATTTTATGGGACAACACGTATACCAGCCTCCTGCAGCTGTGAAACATCACCGACCACAGTTTTCTATACGCTCGTATAGACGACCATTCTATACGAGCGTATAGAAGACCATGGTCTTCTATATGGTCTTCCATATGCTCATATAGAAGACCATGGCCTTCTATACGCTCGTATAGAAGACCATGGTCTTCTATACGTATGGTCTATACGCTCAGCGTATAGAAGACCATGGTCTTTTATACAAGCATATGGAAGACCATGGTCTTCTATACGCTCGTATAGAAGACCATGGTCTTCTATATGAGCATATGGAAGACCATGGTCTTCTATATGAGCATATGGAAGACCATGGTCTTCTATACGCTCGTATAGAAGGCCATGGTCTTCTATACGAGCGTATAGAAGGCCCATGTCACCAACGGCTTCTGGCATGTCACTTAGAAGACAACAGAATCTTATTTGCTTCCAACTACCAACTTAAAAAGTAATCTTGGTCCACACAGTAGTGCTCAAAAGTGCCTGAAAGGATGTCTGTCCAGCCAACACAGAGTTTAGGAAAAAATCTGACTGTCGCAACTTGTAAGGGACAGTTTGTGACAGAATGAAACCTGAGAGTCGTGACGTTCATCTTCTGTACGTTTCCAGCAGCAGCTGTGAGTAAATTGTTAGTGTTGTAATAGGAAGCTTCAATGAGGGGTAACAACAACTTCCTCTGAACAGACGTTGAGTCATTTACCGCTACGGTTTATTTTTAGATTGACGAGTCATGAACGCCTCAACGTTTTCCTGCAACCTGACCAAAAAAACCCATTCATCTATAAACATTTACACAAGAAAACAAAACTTATTCAATTAGCATGATGTTTCCAGTAAAGTGTATTCAGGAGTTTCTTTGGTGAAACTAATCGACGATATGAAAGTGGTGAGCGCACATGGAGGAGTTTCACTGAAGCTGTGCAGGAATGTGATTATATTTTAATGAACACTCCAGTTCAGCTTCTCATCCACTCTTTTATAGACGCACACACACAACGCGCTTTCAGTTGTACATTTTTACACATCACTTCTTGCTTATACACAGATAAGCTGAGCAGCAAACCATCTGGTCAAGACCCAGAACTGGTTCCACCACCACACCTCGCCAGCCCTCCAGCCCTCATTTAAAGCTCGATGGTCTCGCCCCACCTTCTTTAGCAGAGCCAGTAGCATTCTGTGAGTATGAGATGACCTTAAGGTCAACGAATACTTCTTTACTGCTCGTCCAAACACAAACGTTGGGGGGCCCAGACTCTGGAACTAGCAGCCTCAGGACCTGAGCTCCACATGGACCTGGGCCTTTTTAGATCTAGTCCTTCGATTCAGGCGGGCTTCGATCACCTCGAGTCACTCTGACGTGTTGTAGTTTCACACTTTGAGCACATTCGGTCTGTGGTCAGCGGCTCTACAAAACATTTAGTTTGGACCATAAAGAGCGACGAGCATTTCTTTCTACACATCAGGCACGACTTGCTCCGATCTGAAGGACCTGGATGGTTGATTTTGTATCATGATCTTACGAGATGATTTTACTGGTTCTTCTCACAGTTTCATATGTTCTTTACATGTAAAGAAAACCGTTCATGCCGACACAAAGACAATACCTTTGATTTTACTGCACCACCTTCATCGTACCTTTTTAATCTCGACTTGGACTTTGGTGGAAATCCTTCGGTTCTGAAATCTGCCAACGAGCTCCGGTTCAAAGAAGGTGACCAGAGAAAAGAATTACGAGCTCGTCTCTCAACAGTGGCCTTCGTTTCGAAGACCTCGGTGTTTGATGTGACTCAAAATTACAGAATGCAGTAAAAGAGGAAGTATATTTAGATTTGAATAAATCATAAATATATCAAACCTGTTGTAATAAGAAGTCATATTACGAGGCATTAACAGGTCACAAGTAATAAAAAACTTTTGTAAAAAGAGGCCATTAATATGTAAAAAGAGCCAAATCAAAGATTTTAATAACTGAATAATCTCAGAAATTCAACTTATTTCACTCATTTCAACTGAAAGGTAAAAAACCTTCTTTGTCCCGACTCATCACGTTTTGTCTCCAGATGTTCTCTAAGGAACCACAACGTTCCAACAAATGTTCTTAACAGGGCCAAGCTGTAACGGTCAGGTCCAACATGGCAGACGTGTCTGATGTTCTACTTCCTCTTCCTGCCCCGGCCTCTCCGCCCACGACTCGTGGAGGGGCCGGCCCCCGCCGAGTCCAGAGCATCGTGAGACGGCCCGCTCAGGATGCTGATCTGTCCCTCCTGGATTTCACTGCGAGACTCCGACGACAGCTGTTCAATTTTCTGCTGCGTCTCCAGATAAAACATGACGTCTCTGAGCTGCTCCTGCAGCTCCGCGATCATGGCGTCCTTACGTTCTCCTGCACAGAACCAGACGGAACAACACGTCAGCCACATGACCAGAGAGACGGCAGAACACAGCTACGATCAAACTCGACTGACGTCACCACAAACACAAACGTACGATCGTTCGCTCCATCCATCCATCCATCCATCCACCCATCCATCCATCCATCCACCCATCCATCCATCCATCCATCCATCCATCCATCCATCCATCCATCCA